AAAATCCTTGGATTGATGATTTCCTACACAAAGGTCACATGTTAGAGAAGAAGATTCAATTGCATTTATTTTCAACACATTATCTAATTGCTTCTGGATGTTTGAAAGTTGAGCAGCCAATGCAGTGTAACCGTCAACTTCGTGCACTTTCGTTGATCTCCTTGTTGGAGTTCTCTCTGGAGTCCTCATATAGTTATTGTTCGCCATCACCTCAATCAGATTGTATGCATCCTATGGTGTTTTATTGTTCAAGGCTCCCCCACTTGCAGTATCAATCATAGCTTGAATAGTCGATAGCAACCCTTGGTAGAACGTTTGCAGTTGCGACCAAATTGGTAAACCATGGTGAGGGCACCTCCGTAAGAGATCTTTATACCTTTCCCATGCTTCATACAATGACTCCAAGTCTTGTTGGTAAAAATTGGTAAGCTCACTTCTCAGCTTGGCAGGTGGAAAGTATTCAGTGAGGAATGCTTGAGCTAACTCATTCCATGTCGTGATGCTTCCAGATAGAAAAGAAATCAACCAAGCGTCAGCTTTATCCCGAAGAGAGAATGGGAAAAGCCTTAGCCTAATTGCATCATCAGAGACTCCATTATGTCTGAATGTGTCGCACAACTCTAGAAAATTGGCGATATGCAAGTTGGGATCATCATTAGCCAACCCAACGAATTGAACCATCTACTGAATTATTTGAATGATGGCTGGCTTGATCTTGAAATTATTTGCTTGAACTGGTGGTCTCCTGATGCTAGAATAGCACCCGTCAATAGTAGGACTAGAGTAGTCCTTCAATGCTCTCTGAACCACTACTGCTCCACCATTTGCATTTCCCCCTAAAGTATCTTCAGTCTCATTCTCTTGATTTCCCATATTGGGATTCACAATTCCTATGTTAGCCATTGATCTTTCAAAGTTAGCTTGCCTCTTTTCTCTCCTCAACTATTTCGTGGTTCTCTCGATCTCAAAATCTAGTGGATTAAGATGACCACGACCTCTGGAATGTAAACTCTCTAGATTCTAGCTGAAAACCACAAACAAAACAAACAAAAATAAAAATTAATTAGTAAACAGAAATAAAACAAATCAAATTAGCAACTAAATATTTCGTATTGATATTGGTAAAACAAAATAGTTCCCCGGCAACGGCGCCGAAAACTTGACAGGCTATTCGCAAGTGTACGAAATTGCGCAAGTAATAAAGCTTGTGTAAAAGAGTGTCGAATCCTAAGAGAACTACCTACCAAGTACCAAACTAGTCTATTTTATTGCTATTTGATGAAACATAATCTTAAGAATTAATTTAATGAAAAAGATAACAAACTAAAAATTAAACAAAGGCAGAATTTTATTAATACTATGGTAAACAAATCAATATGACTAAACCTAGGGCATAGATTTCACACCAATTTAATCCTATGTATTGACAATTATTGCTAACCTAATTAAGCTTATTCTAAAGGCCAAATTCCCTGATATTCCACTAACTTTCTCTCAAACAATTAGCGAATTAACCCTTAAGCAACAACCCAAAATATCTCTAAGTTGGATTTAGGAGTTAAGAGATCATTAAATTCTATAGAATTTACCAGAGCCTCACAGATCGCAGTAACCTATCTCTAGTGTTCGCTCAATCTATGGTTTTATTACCTTAGACAAATCAGGTTTCATCTCTCGATCTCAACCCAACCCATGATATCATTTAACTCTCGGATCCTTAAGAATTGAAAGCATTATGCATAATAATAAAACTTAGAATTAAATGCTCAATAAGAATTAACAACAAATTAAATCAACACATATTCATAAATTGGGCTACATCTTTAGCCCTAGAAAAAAGATTTAGTTCATAATTACAATAATGAAAACAACCATTGTATTTAATAACATGAGTTCAAGAAAGAAAAATAGAAAAACTTCTCTAATTTGTGAACGAGAATCGCAAGAATTTCGATCTCCAAAGTAGTAGCCGTCCTTTCTCCTCCTTCTAATCCTCTTTAATTTCTTCAAAACTCTCTGTTATATCTCTGGGGTTCTTGGTCGTGCTTAGGAAAAAGATTAGAAAACTTAGCCCATTCAGATTCGAATTAGGGTAATGAATTAACACAAACCCGTTACCCATCGCTGCGGAGGTAAGAATGGTCGCCGTGACGATTGTTCTTTCTATCCAAAGCATCCATAATCTTTAGAATTAGATGAAGTCATCAACACAAACATTGTAGCTCTCTGAATAAGCTTTCCAACGCCACTAGAATCGTCAAATTCTGACTTCTACAGCTCAAGTTATGACAGAAACATCGAGGCATACTCATGATGAAGAATTTCTAGATTTTCCGTGACATCTTCGACTTGCCACAACTCCCTCATTTCGACCCTAATTCTTGTGCCGTTTGTTCCTACGAGTCGTGAATCCTATCGACATCATTCTTTTCCCTTCAAAAACTTGTTTGAGCCTGAAACCACTCAAAATGCACCCATGATCCCATAAATGGTATTTATGAAAGAAATAATCCAAATTCCACACTTTAAACACATTTTTTCATAAATAAACCAATTAAATCACTAACAAAATATAAAAATTCAAGCTCTTATCATTTATCAGTCTCAAAAGGACTTAATATGTGTCTCATGGAGGTTGCCACTACGAATTTTTATGCTACATTGGATACTGATATCTATATGAAAATCCCTAAAGGATTCAAAGTGCCAGAAGCAAATAAAAGGAACATATATTCAATAAAATTACAAAGATCATTATATGGATTGAAACAATCAGGACGAATGTGATATAATTGTCTCAGTGAATATCTGATTAAGAAAGGATATATCAATGATCTTGTATGCTCGCGTGTTTTTATAAAAAGGTCAGAATCAGGATTTGCAATTGTGGCAGTATATGTCGATGACATGAACTTAATAGGGACTTTTAAAGAGCCCACAAAAGCTGTCGAGTACTTAAAAAGAGAGTTTCAAATGAAGGATTTAGGGAAAACAAAGTATTGTCTTGGCCTGTAGATCGAGCATTGTTCAAATAGAGTTTTGCTATATTAACCAATTTATACTAAAAAGATCCTTAAGCGATTTTATATGGATAAATCTCACATCTTGAGTAGCCCAATGGTAGTTCGGTCTCTTAATCCTAAAAATGATCAATTTCATCCTTAAGAAGACGATGAAAAGATACTTGGTCTTGAAATACGGTATCTAAATGTAATAGGTACATTATTATATTTGACACAATGTACAAGACCAGACATAACATTTGCAGTGAATCTGTTGGCAAGATTTAGTTCTACACCAACTTGCCAACATTGGAATGGGATCAAGCATGTCTTTTGTTACCTCAATGACTCGGGATTATTTTATCCAAGGAAATCTGTTAATGTTCCTAAATTAGTTGGCTATACAAATGCTAGGTACCTTTCTGATCCTGACAAAGCCTGCTCATAGCGGGGTATGTATTCACTCATAATGGTACTGCAATATCATGACGCTTTACAAAACAGACATTGGTTGCTACTTCCTTCAACCACTCTGAGATTCTTAAGCTTTATGAAGCTAGCCGATAATACGTATGATTAAGGTCTGTCATCCATCATATTGAAAGTACATGCAAATTGTCACAATTATAAATGAAGACAATGCAGCATTATTGCCCAAGTTATGAGAGGATATATCAAAGGAGACAAAACCAAGCATATTTAGCCGAAATTCTTTTACACTCATGAACTCTAGCAAAATCAAGAGATTGATGGCAACATTTGAAAAGTTAGTGTATGGCATTGGTATGCGGGGACTCAATAAATTACTAAATTAATTGTACCATTATCAGGGGCAGCACTGATCAAGAGGAGCATCAATTAGGGGGACTTTATTATACTGGATACATGTACACTGTACTCTTTTTTCCTTGATCAGGTTTTGTTCCACTGGGTTTTCCTGACAAGGTTTTTAATGAGGCAGTATTTCGCACGTCCAACACCATTATACAATTCATCATGTAATTTTGTTTCTTTGCTTAAGGTTTTTGTCCCACTGGGTTTCTCTTAAGTAAAGTCAATTATAATTATCTGTAAGTGGTGGATTTTATTTGGTGGAGATCCAAGGGGGAGTGCTGTAAAGAAATATGGATCTACCACTATTTGACACATTTCATCACACTATTGCCACCTCTTGACACATGGCAAAAGGTGGTCACAATTTGTGGCACCTAGTGGCTAAATGGTAAGATTTGATTAGTTTAGGGGGGTGGGGGTGACAAGAATTACTATATAAACTCTTCCCTCCTTTGTAATTCTAGTGTACTAAAATGAAAAAAGATAATAAATTTCAGCCCCCTTTATTGTTATTCTATTTACAATAGTCTCTTATTTTTCATTAGTTATGCATTAGTCCTTATAATGTTTTATATTTCGTAATTATTATAATATGAGACAAATTGAGCTCTCTGAACGGTAATGGCTTAGTACGATGTGAGATAAATTCAACCCGTTGTGATATATGCATTGCAAGCTGATAAATGAATTTACGATAAAATTCCTTCCAAATAACTAACTCAAATTAAGAGAGTATCCAACCACAGTTCAACAATTTAGTTTTAAGCTTATACTGTTGCTTCATTCTATAGAGTTGAAAATTCCAAAATCAGTAACTGTTGTTTCATATAGCTCTCTCTGAGTCTCTGTAGCTCCCTGCTCTAAAACCAATCTTATTGCTCTTTGATTATTTGCTGGCTTGGCTTTGCATTAATTTCAAGTCTTCAACTACCCCGTCAACTCTAGAGTCTAGACTTGAATTTGTTTTAGAAATATCCCCCAGATTTTGGATTACATATTTTTGTGGTATTAGATTTAATTACTGTTTAAAAGAATTTCACAGCCGTGAAAGTCAAGATATGTACGAAGTTATTTTCAATCCACAGTAGAAGCTGAGATCACGAAACTAGTATAAATAAAGTCGCACCCTTCAAGCAAGATACGTGACAGATTTCGATAGTAATAGCTAGATTTCATTAAGTTCACTTTGTCTGTTCTTCTTTTTCCAACAATAATGGCGGCGACATTGCCAAAACTTGGTAGCTCTCTAGCTGTGCCTTGTGTCCAAGAGATAGCCAAGAAGCCACCCACCAGAGTTCCACAAAGATACGTGCGTCCCGATCAGGAAAATCCTTTCGTTTCTAATAACAATTCTGTTCTACAAGTCCCTGTTGTGGATATGCAAAGGTTACTTTCTGCAGATTTCATGGACTCGGAGCTCGACAAATTACACCAAGCATGCAAAGAATGGGGTTTCTTCCAGGTTCGTATACATTTATATTCAAGAGAATGAATGAATTATTATTGGCATTAATGGGAACTAAATCAATTTGTTGGGCGCAGTTGATAAATCATACGGTGGATATTTCTTTGGTGGAGAAAGTGAAATCGGAGATTGAGAAGTTCTTCACGTTGCCAATAGAAGAGAAGAAGAAGTATGGGCAACTTCCAGGGGATATTGAAGGATTTGGGAATGCGTTTGTTGTTTCTGAAGAGCAAAAGCTTGACTGGGGAGACATGTTCTATTTGACTACTCTCCCAATTCATTTGAGGAAACCGCACCTCTTTCCCAAGCTCCCTCTCTCCTTCAGGTTCAATTTTTTTATTTTTTTTTTAATTTTATTTTCATGGAATAGATCCTTAGACAGTTATGTTGTAATATTGCTTTCACCATTTATAACGTGATTTATTAAAATTTAAGCTGTAAGATTTCTATTTCTTTCCTCAAATATTTTCTTTTTCTTTGTTTGTCTGCGATAGAGACATTTTATCTACCCACTATAAAGATGAAAATTGAAATGCCAGCACTTTAATGTAAAAGGAGGAGAGATTTTCTCATCCGCCCCATCCCATCAATCAAATGTCAATTGTTATTATACGATTAATTAAACATAATTAAATAAAACTTCAAAATCTTGGTTTATTGTTTCTTATAAATTTAAGTGACAGACCTATGGCAGCCCAAGAGTGAAGGCGAACCAACATGAGCACTGATTAGAAACCTGGCCCAACCCGACCATTTTAACTGGTTAGACTAAGACCCAGGGCCTTCATCGGTTTTACCGGCAAAGGTGGAAAACTAGCCCTCAAAATTTAAACACACCCTATTCCTTCCACTCACCCCCTCTTATATTGCACTTTCTCCCCCATTAATTAAATAAAACTTCAAAGTCTTGGTTTATTGTTTCTTATAAATTTAAGTGACGGACCTATGGCAGTCCAAGAGTAAAGGCGAACCAACATGAGCACTGATTAGAAACCTGGCCCAACCCGACCATTTTAACTGGTTAGACTAAGACCCTGGGCCTTCATCAGTTTAACCGACATAGGTGGAAAACTAGCCCTCAAAATTATAAACATACCCTACTCCTTCCACTCACCCCCTCTTATATTGCACTTTCTCCCCCATTCCAACGGATTCTGGTGCCTAAAATCATCCCCGAACCCTCCATTGGCCTCACTGATGTCTCCCTACCAAAAACCCCAACACCCCGGACCTTGATTGTTCATCGATCGTCGTCGACCACCCTTAGGGTTACGCGATTTTAATTTTTTGGGTTGTTCCTGGCCCCAAAAATCATCCTCGACCCCTCCATTTGCCTGACTGAAGAATTTTCTTCACGAGCAGAGAAACTTTGGAGGCTTATTCGGGTGAAGTAAAAAATCTGGCAATGAAAATTCTGAACCTGATGGCAAAAGCTCTAGGAATGGAAGCTAATGATATGAAGGTGTTGTTTGAAAAAGGATGGCAGTCAATGAGGATGAACTACTATCCTCCATGTCCACAACCAGAGGTTGCCATAGGCCTCAGTCCTCATTCTGACTCCGTCGGCCTCACCATCCTCCTGCAGATCAACGAGATGGAAGGCCTTCAAATCAAGAAAGATGGGATGTGGGTTCCTATTAAACCTCTTAGTAATGCTTTTGTTGTCAACATCGGGGACAATTTGGAGGTATAATTTGCTTAAATTGGTAGAATATTATACATAATGGAATTTGTTCTTGACTGTTTTTATGGATGATTTTGCAGATGGTGACGAATGGAATTTACCCAAGTATTGAGCATCGTGCAACCGTGAACTCCACAAAAGAGAGGCTCTCTATTGCAACATTTTACTGCCCCAAACTGGATGGAGACATGGGTCCAGCACCGAGCCTTATTACTCCAGAGACTCCAGCACTGTTTAGAAGAATTGGAGTTGAAGACTACTTCAAGGGATTATTTACACGCAAACTTGATGGAAAGGCATACATTGACGTGATGAGAATCGATAATCAAGAGGAGTAAAATATGTTAATGTGAGAAATCTTTTGAGTATTTTATCATATGATAAATAAACACCAGAAAGTTTGTCAGCTTGTATGAGAAAATTAATAATGTCAATTCAGACTTGTCTGATATATTAATAAATTGTCGAAATTCTGAGTGCCACCACAGCGCCAAGAACTCCATACATATTTTAAGCAAATAATTAGTTGCCTTAATTTGATGGCATGAAAATAACAATAATGTTACGGACACCGGGATTTTTACACCGAAATATTGTATCCGCCTACGTGTAACACGTCTTTGATTTTTTTAATAATTTTTTTCTAGTGAACGGTCGTCCATCAAATTTAGACCGTCGTTCACTCACATGGACGCTCGTCCATATTATATGGACGAGGTCCATATACCAGAAACGGGCGTCTCCAATTAAAGGACGCCCGTCCATAAGTAAAATGGAATAATTTTTTTTTATAAAAATTAGGGACGACCGTCCCTTCATTTTAGACGGCCGTCCCTTATTCAAAATATGAAAATAAAAAAAGAAAAAAATTTGGGGACAAGCGTCCATATCCCTTAAGTTTGGACGGACGTCCATTTGGACGCCCTAATGGATGCCCGTCCATACTTTTAAAAAAAAAAAAAAAAAAAAAAAGACATTCTAAACACCTTTCTTCAATCTTCTTCTTCGTCTTCATTCCCCATCTCCTCTCTTTTTCATCGTCTTCATTCCCCCAGCCTCACCTTCCTGAACAGCATAGTTCCCACGAGATATTTAGTTTCTTTTACCAGATTACGAAAATCTGTTCTAATCCCACTGCAGATAAGAAAGCCTGGCAACAAAATTCCACTCACAAACTCTTCTGTTTTCTCCATAACCTCAATGGCAAACTCTCCTTTTGGTATGATAAGTCCAAATACAAATCCACGGTGGATTATCCACCCACCAGTGAATGTGAGCCACACGCGTCTGTGATGAATCCACTAACAGCCACGCCCATGAGAATGATATATATAAGGGTATCGCTTAATTTATTGCTGAATTTGCCTTGTTTGTTTTTGGTATGCTGTAACATCCAAGTAATGAGTGGATGCAATCCAAAGAAGGAGACTATTATAAAGCAAAATATTGGAACTAATGACAAAGTTATGCTGTGAAGATTCTCATCAGAAATAACAATTGCCAGAACAAGAAATAACCATGTCAAGATATCAGTAATGAGAGCGGAACTCAAGGCAATTGTGCCAAGTTCTGTGTGGAGGAGCTTGACATCTGAAAGTGTTTCGGGGAAACTTGTGATACTTAGAGTTATAGCCCAGAACAGAGCACCCACATAATTTTGATCTCGTTCCGGCCGGTCATTTACAAGAGGTACAAAGTATAAGATTGCCCCAACAACAAATGGAATAAAAAATCTAGCAAAGGCGATGCTCCATGATTTCTTTCTCGTGTGCTTTAAATTGGATAGATCCATCTCTGACCCCACCAAGAACATGTAGTAAGTGACCCCCAAATTGGCGTATGACTCTAACAACATGCTCTGCTCATATGGGAAAAGATTCATCCATCTAAAAGGATCGCGTTCCCAATAGAAAATACTCCCTAGGAAAGTTGGGCCAACGAGAATAGAAGCCTATACACCCAGGAAAAGAAATAACCGTGTCAAATAATTGTTAACCTTCCCAATTAAATCTTGAACATTGATAGAATCGACGCAGAATTGTAAGCATCAAGTGTCAATCTATGCATATGAAAGAAGAAAAAGATGGATGAACTTGCAAGACGTATTGATGTTTAATAACAAAATTATAACATATAGCAGAAGGATGGAGCTGAGATGTTGCACTTACCATAAGCTGAGAAACAAAACGAGGCTGACGAAGAGGTTTGACCAGCATAGTTCCCACGAGATATTTATTACTTGCATTTACCTATGGCTTTGTTCATGAATTCACTGTGTTTTTTTCATATTTATTACTAATGTTCAGGAAGGTGAGGCTGGGGGAATGAAGACGAAGAAAAAGAGAGGAGACGGGGAATGAAGACGAAGAAGAAGATTGAAGAAGAAAGGTGTTTAGGAATTTTTTTTTTTTTTTTTTAAAGTATGGACGGCCGTCCATTTCTAATGGACGTCTGTCAAACTTAAGGGATGGTCGTTCAAAATTTATGGCGGGTCATCCCCAAATTTTTTTTTTTTTTTATTTTCATATTTTGAATAAGGGACGGCTGTTAAAATGAAGGGACGGCCGTCCCTAATTTTATAAAAAAATTTTATTCCATTTTACTTATGGACGGATGTCCTTTAATGGGGACGCCTGTCATGGTATATGGACCGCCGTTATATAATATAGACGGGCGTCCATGTGAGTGAACGGCCGTTCAAATTTGATGGATGACGTTCACTAGAAAAAAATTGTTAAAAAATCAGAGACGTGTTACATGTAGATCGGTTACAATATTTCGATGTAAAAATCTGGTGTCTGTAGGATATTGTGAAAATAAACATGGACAATGTTGATGCATATTTGGTTTAAGAGCAATAATAAATATCCTAGTTTGGGTCAGACGACAAACCTTTTGTTCTAGATAACTGCCAAATGAAATAATGCTTTTTATGTAAAATCTTGGTGTCTGTAGCATTATTGTGAAAATAAACATGGACACTGTTGATGCATTATTGGTTTAAGAGCAATAATAAATATCCTAGTTTGGGTCAGACGACAAACCTTTTGTTCTAGATAACTGCAAAATGAAATAATGCTTTTTCCATAATAAGAATTAGGTGTGTGATGAAAATTAAATATGACGTTCCTCTGCAATTGTTAGGCAGGAAATGTGAGTTGTAAACTCACTTTTTACAACTTGAACTGTAAAAAATGGTGGCTGTCGAAGGTGGTTATTAAAGATGGTGGCTGTAAAAATGGTGGCTGTCAAAGATAGTGGGAAGCATTAATTGCCAAGGAACCGCCACTGCACTTCTAGAAAGAGGAGTGTAGGAACTCTGTAGAGGGCAGTCACTACTTTCTCAAATTTTCTCCTCCCTTTTGTTGTAAGGAAAAGTTTTTTCTCCTATTTCAAGAGTGAATTTTTGATTTGTTTTTCTCCTTATATTTAGAGAGAAGGTATTGTAACTCGTATTTTACTATAGTGGAAATCCTTCTTTACTTGTCTGTGATTTTTCTCTTAATTTGTTTAAGAGTTTTTCACGTAAATTTCGTGTCTTAAATTTTATTTATTGTGTGATTTTGCTTCAGCCTGATGGTTGATTTTCTAATAGTGGTATCAGAGCCAAGGTTGCCACCATGGCAACAAAGTTCGAAATTGAGAAATTCAACAAAGTTAATTTCTCCCTTTGGAAATTGAGGATAAGACAATATTGAGGAAAGATAATTGCTTAGCAACAATTAAAGGTGTTAAACCAGCTGGAGTAACTGACGACAAATGGAAAGAGATGGATGACAACGCTATGTCCAACTTGCATCTAGCGTTGGCAGATTCAATTCTATCTAGCGTTGCAAAAAAGGAGTTGGCCAAGGAAATTTGGGATGCACTTACCAGATTGTACAAGGTCAAGTCAATTCACAATAAGATCTTCCTAAAGAGGAGACTCTATACTCTTTGAATAAGTGAATCTACGTCAATGACAGATCACATCAACAATCTGAATACGCTATTTTCCCAACTTTCAGCGTTGGACCACAATATAGCAGTAAATGAACGTGCCGAGATTCTATTTCAAAGTTTACCTGATTCATATAATCAACTTATCATTAACTTGACAAATAATGTTCTCATGGATTATCTAGTCTTTGATGAAGTTGCAGCTGCTATTTTAGAAGAGGAATCCAAGCGCAAAAATAAGGAAGATAGATCAGGCAGCTCATAGCAGGTGTTAGGGCCAAAAATCGTCCTCGGCCCAAATAGGGAAACAGGATCACTGATGAAGAACGACCAGGCCCAACCTTGCAGAGGCCCAATTCGGATTAGCCCTATTTGATACGAAGTATAGCCGACCCGGACTACATGGGCGCGAGCCTCTTAAGCCCTGTCCAATTTCTAGGCCTATGGGTGAGTCCAGAGCCCATAGCCCCTTCAACATTTTCCCATTCTTGATCAATCCCCTATTCAAGGTAGTCTTCCTCTATCCTGGAAACTTTCCCACTTGGGGGTCATTCTCCTAAATGGAATTAACTTCCTATCTAGACACTAATAAAGACAGCTGATTACGGCCCTGATTCTTCTAGGGTTGGCATCAGAGTCACACTAGGACTCCTGCTCCTACCAGGATTAGAAGACCAAACGACCACTATATAAGCAGAGGCCAGCCCTCTCACAAAGGACATGGACATTACCCCTTCACACCCGAGACTCTTTGCTTGAGAGTTCACTTAATCGCCGTAGTCACAGTCCCTGACTAGACTTCCGGTAATCTCTCACTCCCTAGCCCTCACTATATTAGCCTTTCAGCCTTGCTGACTTGAGCGTCGGAGTGCCTACGGCAAACACCACCCTGGTGTTTCCCGTTCGCTTTACGCGTGTTTCTCTATGTGTGCAGGTACAGCAGATCGCTAGTGGCCTCAACCTCGCGGGATCAGACCCCCCTTTCCGTACAGGTAGATTTTTATGTCTACAGTTTGGCGCCCACCGTGGGGCCTTTAGCAATCATTCGGTGTGACGAACCTTGCTACGTGGAGGAATATTCCATGGCTGATAATCCAGACGACGTTAACTCAGGCCTCGAGGCTAGACTGGAGGCTTTGACCGCTCTCGTGCAACAAAACTTGGACAAGGTGGCCACACTAGAAGCCGAAAACACATCCATCAGGGTGGAGAACCAGTCGCTAAAAGAGAAAGTAAGTCGATTCTATGAACTCGAGTTTCTGCCCGACCAAGCACCCCCCAATCGGTTCCGCACCATTATCCCATCCATGCAACCCCTTTCCACACCAGAGCATTAACCCTCGGATTCTGGTAAAGGGCCGCGTCAGCTTAACGCACTGGCACTCGACTACTCCGTTCTGACTAACGGAGATAAAGATACAGCAGGGCGCGGTCCAGTCGACCCATCCCAGCCTCATGATCAAAACGATCCAGCAATAGAGAACCCGAAGAATCAACCCATCCCCACCATGCCACTTCACCGCCAGTCAACCCAAACACAAAC